AAGTCTTTGGAGCCTCTGTTTAAGTGCCGGCTTGGTTAAATTTTTACAAGCAGGGCACGAATAGGTAGGATGTTCCTCATCCAAACAAAAAAGGCACTGGTTATGACCGTCAGAAAGTGCGATTTTATTTGCACAGGTCGTACACCTTTTAAAAGGAGACGGTGAGGCCATAAGCAAAGAACTAGAGAAGAGGGGGGAAAGGGGGAAAAAAGAGAAAATGGGAATAAAAAGATGGAGGATCACTAAGTAGGAAATTAAAACAAACAAAAGCTCAAAGGAGCCTAGAAAAATAGCCAAAAGGCAACTAGCGAAGCACTCAATCTTTCCCGAGAACCGTTCAGCTCGGCGGAAAAAAGGAGCTGGGGAAAATGGTGGGTGGGAGGAGCATATCCCTCGTGGAGGATCACACCATAAAATTGTTACTTTTAGCTCTAGAATCTTCCGAGAGAGTCAGCGCAGGCACAGACAATACCCATATGTATGCATTCACAGAGGCCACGAAAAAGAAATGGAAGAATGAGTGAGGGAAACATGTAAGTCAATGAAGAAGCAAGTGCGCTAGGTTGAAAGCACAGTGTTTAGGTTGTTAGCCAGAAGGAAACAGGGGAAACAACATATGTATCAAAGGCACTATAAAAGTGGAGGTAAATGAGAAGCATGTTTAACGTAGAAAAAAAGAGAGAGAATCCACAATTTTAAAAGTAAAATATTTACTTTGATAGATTTTAGGTCTGAAAGAAATATAAACTCTGATCGAACTGGTACTCATCTGAAACACTTACATTCTTTTAACTGAAAAGGAACATCCTGATCTAGCAGAAGAAGGGAAACTATTCTGGTCATTTTTCACCCAGGAAAAACAGAACATCAATGGGTGACAATTACAGTAATCCTCCAAATACTACCTTGCTTTAGAAATCAAAGCAGGGTGGTATTTACTTACTAAAAAATAAACTAATGCCATCCACAACAAGTAGATTCTCAAGGCAACTAATGTTCCAGTTTACCTCTGACATGTTATAGGATATAAATGTTTTGTTATGTCATAATGTCTCAATTCAAAAAGAGGGGGAAAGAATTCTGACCATGGGCAGGCAAAGCAACAGTTAAGGGCTGTTGCCGGAGACAAGGACTTGCCAGAAATACAGTACTGCCTGGTAATCCCCTTGTTGGTACCTCCTCTCAAAAGATGATCACAGAATCAACAGGAAGCAAAACCTTGGTTTGTTGTTCCCTTAAAGAATCAGGAGCAGGAGATCAACTTTAAATGTTGGCCTCAGACTCCAGTTGGTTAAAACAAGGACAAAGTGATAGTCCAGGTTTCACTGTAACAGGAAGCTTTTCCTTCCTGATAGTTTTCTGACTACAGTATTTCATCAGGCTGCTTTTCTACAAACAGGCCAGAATGCTCAGCAGTTGTGGCCCAGCGTCACATCCAAATGCAGCTGGTAACTCCACTGGCCATACATAATTGAGGTAAGAACCCAAAATAGGTTGTGACACTTCTACTACCGTGTTTTCCCGAAAATAACATCCAAATGCAGCTGGTAACTCCACTGGCCATACATAATTGAGGTAAGAACACAAAATAGGTTGTGACACTTCTACTACCATGTTTCCCCGAAAATAAGACAGGGTCCTCTATTAATTTTTGCTCCAAAAACCACATTAGGGCTTATTTTCAGGGGATGTTTTGTTTTATAGTCATGTCATCTTTTGGTTGCTGCACAATGGTGGAGGGTGGGGTTTCATTTAACTAGGGCTTATTTTTCAGGAAGGGCTTATATTACGAACATCCTAAAAAATCATACTAGGGATTATTTTCAGGTTAGGTCTTATTTTTGGGGAAACAGGGTAAATATAGGTCTACAAAGCACTTTGCGGTCTCTACAGTTTCTAACACATCAGTGTTCAATGCCCCCAATTTCCAAATTATAGCTTATAGGTTTTATTTCTTTACTTACTTAATAATTCTACTTCTGAATTACTCAATAACTGTTGTTCTGTGGGTGACTCTTTAAAAAAATTAAAAAATAATAGAAAAGCACCTTCTGAACACAAAATTACAGTGGGGTCTCGACTTACAAACTTAATCCGTATTGTAAGGCAGTTCTCAGGTCGAAAAGTTCTTAAGTCGAATCTGCATTTCCCATAGGAATGCACTGAAAACCATTTAATCTGTATCTGCTCTTTTCGACCATAGAAACTAATGGGAAGCTGCTATTCCACCTTCTGCCACTAGAGGGAGATAATTTTTTTCTTTTTTTCCTTTTGACCTAAGATGACTTAGCTTTTAAAAAAGGGGGGAAAAAGAGTTCGTAACTCGAATCTAAGTTCGTAAGTCGAGTCCATATATTCCTATGAGAGCAGTTCGTAAGTCAAAAAGTTCCTATGTCGAGCCGTTCGTAAGTCGAGACCCCACTGTAGTAATATTAACCCAGTCATCAGACAGAATCCTGTTGATAATTCCGATGTAAACTGTTTAGCTTTCTGCAGCAAATGGTCACTAACTCACACATTCGCAAGTCCCTGACAGGATCTGAGCCATTTATATGCAAATTCCAGCTTTCCTTCCATGGTTTTGTTTTCAGTGACTTATTACGTCTGTATCCACACTAGCTACCAAAAAGGCTAGCCAACATTGCCTCTAAACCAGGGGTCTCCTAACAACAGCTCGCAAGCCATGTCTAGCCTGCCTTGCCTTTTATCTGGCCTGGCCGGCGGGTGGGAGTGCATGCATGTGGATGTGCGGACACACAACTTCCTTCGGTCCTTGGAAATCTAGAACATATATGTTGTGGCCCTCACTCTGAAAAGTCTGGAAATCCCTGCTCTAAACCAATGCTTTCCCACAGCTTTTGTTCTGGACAAGTTTTAACCACAGTTAACCCTGAGAGGGAGAAACTACACTGTAGTCAGAGCAAACAGCTGAAAGGAAGAGATGAATCATGAATGTGGGCAGGAAATGTGGAAAAGAAGGATCCCAATCTCCATTTGGAACTACAGTATATATCAGCATCAAACCGTCATCAAAACAACCAGAACTAAAGAGAGCATTCAACCAAAAACTCAAAACAGAAAATGCTAAAATGTCTATCGTACACAGCAGCTTTGGAATATTTACCCGGTAGAGTCAGCGTTCAAAGTTAGAAAGGATTGACATAAGCAGAAAGAAAACTAAAACACGGCCATAATTGTATTTTTCAGTGTAGGCTGAAATCCTATTGCACTTGGAGTTTCGTAAAGTAATGCCTGTGGAATTTCACAGAGAGAGTTTTACCCAGGCATTCTTCATTGCATGCCTGGTTATGCAACTGACTGTACAACTAGTTGTGCAACTGGCTCTATGGAACTGCTTACTAGATATAAATGTTGACTTGGCATAGGCATAATAAAACTATGCAATGGCGTTTTAGGCCACTGTTGAGGATGGTAGGAATAGTGCCATTTATTCTTACAGATTCAGGTTAGTAAACTCCAATGATCCATCAAAAAAAGGAACAGTTATTAATTCCTTGTTAAGTGCCATCAAGTTGCCTTCAACTTGTGGCGATCCTATAAATCAGGAACCTCAAAAAGATTCCTTCATTCTTGCCCTGATCATGTCTTGCAAACTGAAAGCCATGGCTTTTGTTAATACCTTCTCATTTTTCATTGTTTTGTGCCATCAAATTGGAACCGACTTATAGTGACCCTAATACGGCTTTTCAAAATAAATGAGATGTTTAAGGTATGGTTTTAATAGTTCCACTCCCCCAATGAGCTTCCACAGCTGAGTAGGGATTCAAACCGTGGTCTCCAGAATCCTAGTCCATCACTCTATCCACTACATCGCACTGAATACCTACCTTCTCGTGAAGAATGCTATTAATATCATCTCAAAAAAATTGAGACAGAGTTTATTGAAGGATCTGAAACGAGAGGACCGCTGCTAGGTCTAGCTAAAATGGCTGTGTGGAAATCCAACACACATGCCCTTTCTCAGCAATTTTTCCTCACATGACCATTCTGTTCCATGCAGTTTTCTTTGGTTCTCCCCTAAGCCAAAGCGATCTTTCATTTCTTTTAGAAAAGCTGTGCTGTGGAGAATGGTTAGCCCTGTTCATCAGTTATTGTGTTTGTGAACATTCCATAACATTTCAGCAAGTTCAGGCAATGGAACTTTGTTAGCAACAAGAAATTTTAAGCTAATACATAAGATGCTGCATCCAGATATGAAAGGGAAAACCCTAAACTCAGGAAAATACTGTATACAATATAGTCTTCCAGATGATGGGCGCCTAAACAAATTACTTGACTGGTTTTGAGACTGATTCTGCAGTGAAAGCAGGAGCTCACACTCAAAGCAAGCTATTTGTGCTGCTGGACCCAATGATGGATGCAACAACAAAAACAGACAAACAAATAGTTTTACTGACAAACATAACAATGACATCTGAAATACAAGAATCGACTTAGGCTTAAACAAAGCAAGATGCAGTAATCACAGATACCAACTATATTAGACTCAATTTTAGAATCATTAATTTATCTTCTGAAACAAAATGGAGGTATGTAGAAGTAACTAATATTGAGTACCTATGTAACTAAACAACAAACCTACGTGATATGAGGTCAAAACATTTTTTCTCCTCTGGATTTGTTTTCACTTGGCAAGTTAACAGATTGAGCTTTGCAGGAGGTCGGTTTGCCTAATTAAAGAAAACAAAACAAAAAGGAATATCCCTTAGTAAGAATGCATGAAGAACAACAATGTTTTCTACTATCATTGATTTCCAAAGGGGATAAAAAAATCCTCCTGCACCTCAAAACAAGATATCAAGTTAAGAAATTACCAAAACAGGCCGGCAGTCCAGCCTTTTGAATAAGCAGCTAGATGTAGAAAAGTTTGTGAACTGTAAGGACTATACAGAGCTTCCCAAGTTACAATATTAAAATCTGTGTTTATTTCAGAGATTTTAGAGACTGCAGAGACTGGTCAAGACACCGTAGTCATAAAATTCAACTGGGAGGCGTTAGTGGAGTCTGGTGCCTCCATTGTTAGTAGGCCAATGAATCCACTCCGGGGTTTGATCTGAACTTTACAAACCTAAGCCAAGGAGTTGGTTTAGTGGAGCCAGTGCTCACATGTTTGAAGCCCTGGGACTTTCTGAGTCATAAGAATTATGATATCATCCACACACTCCGAAGCTTCCTGATTAATTCTGATCTTAGCTGCAAACGAAGTAACAAAGGGATTTTTCACAGAAACTACATAGTTACTGAAAATATCCCTATTGTAATGAAAAGGGAAGAAGCATCGCTTGTTTTTAAATAGCTCAACTATTGATGGGGAACAATCCAGTTGTCTGAATATTTGGATATTTTTTTTGGCTGGCTATGGAAATGAACAGGATAGGATTTTTGGCACTACAAACCCCATAGTTTACCATTCTGGGTGTTGTACCAGACAAATCCACACCTTACAGTCACCTGAATGTGGCTCATCCAGGAGAAAAGCCTAAACTGGAAGGCTTTAAGGCCTAGTTCAGCCTAGATCTGCCTAGGTTCCTATTCAGAAGGTTCCCAGATAGAACTGGGGCAGAAACATAAAACATGGGTGGAGCTAGGCCTAGCTAGGCCTCAAAGTTTTCTAGCTGAGGCCTTTCTCCCAGGTAAGCCACATTTAGGTTTCTGTAAGATACCAGTCTGTCAGGCATAACTCCCAGAATAGAGAATAATGGGTGTTGTAGTCCAAAAAAATCCTCAAATCTCATCCCTAGTGATGAACATCTACACCTTAAAATTGACTATTATATAACTGGTAACAAACTGTCCCTAAAATCTGTTCTGCACCTTGCACAGCTCGTCTGAAGTTCATTCTAAAGCCTCGAGTGGATTCACTGCCCCACTGACATTATAGCCATCAGCCCCCCTGTCATGTGTCCTTCTAGGTACAGCTGAAATTCACACAGTTCCACAGGATGCACTGTTATGTATGTGCAAGAATTTAATGATGAGCCCATTTTTCTGCTGCAACACTTGACAAACAGTATCACAGTTGCATAGGATGGAGCTACTTTAGCGATAAGATATACAAGTTGATCTAATTAAAATAGTTTGTACTTTTATAGTGGGCCCAATAGGAAAGGAAGGTAACATGATGGGCCTGTGTTCAAAAATACATTTAATGACAGATAATGTTAGTTTCTTCTATTTATTACAGCAGATTAATTAGCTGGAGACAATTACATCATTATAATCACTGACACAACATTTAAAAACTACATACAAAACTTTGTCATAAAAAACACAAAACAAAGCAGTTCCCAGAAATGAACTATGAGGTAAAAGCTCATATTGCAAAGCCAACAACAGTTGAACACCAGACTCAAACGTTATGGAACTTTTCATCACTATGTAGTAGTTTTTTTAAAGGTAAGTTGTAGGTTTTTCAGGCTGTTTGGCCATGTTCTGAACATGGTCAAACAGCCCAAAAACCATACAACCATCGGATTCTGGCCGTGAAAGCCTTCGAGAATACATTTTTTAAAATGGTTTCTATACAGGTTCCTTTGATAAACCTGTATTTTAAACAGCTAGCTGGATTATTTGGCTGTTCAGCCAGAGATTGCGAGTTTGATTCTCCACTATACCTCCTGAGAGAAGAGCCAGCTTGTGTGGCCTTAAGCAAACTGAACAGTTCCAGGACATCTCAAGAAAAAGGTAATTAGTGAACCACTTCTGAGCACTCTATATTTAGGAAACTTGGCAAGTGAGAATTGACTTGACAGCACACAACAACAGCAGCAGATAATTAGGTTTTTGTTTAAAACTTGTATCTGTTATATAGTCCTAGTCAATGCTTTTATAATTTTGATTGACTGTCCCTGGTATTGGGGAACTGAACACTCATCTTGTTTCGAATTCAAATACCTAATTCTTTGAGCTAGCACGTGAATATATTTCTGTCTAAAAAATTAATAATGTGCTGCAAGTCAATTCTTGTTTATAGCTATCTTCTCAGAATTTTCTAAGTATGAAATATCTCAGAGTGTTTTATTAGAGTCTCCTTCTGCTGGTGCTTCGGGACTGTGCAGCTTATACAAGGCCACATAGGAGACAGGTCACGGAGCCCCATCAGCCATACATGCTCCGGGTGATCTTGGCCATCTTTTCTCCCAGGTATGGCAGGGATTCAAACTTCCAGATCATGGCTCCACAGCCAGGTATTCCAAACCATGGAGCTACATCTGCCCTTTATTCTTACTTACATGCCAGGTTACGGTGTTAAATGAACCTAAAAAAGCAGTTCAGTACATTCCATGAAGACTAACAAACCTATGTAGTGAGAGTCCCACAGGTTTCAACCAGAAATGCAACCCAAAGAGTTTTATTGAAACTGCGTATGACTCAGGACTGTGCAGACTCACTGCTAAATTAGTGCAATGTCAAAGAATGTAACATTGCACTGCAGAGATAGTGTTGGTCCTGGAAACACAGCATGTGCCTCATATATTGGAAGGGTTGTGCTCTTGTAAAATTTGCCTTTTATAGCCCCATGCAATTAAATAATACAAAAAGCGAGCTAGTATGATTGAAATACATGAGCACTCATTCGTATAATTCTGCTGAGACAAGATTTTTAAGAGAGAAAGAATGAGAGACCTAAAATGAGGATGTCAAAAGATGCCACAGTCCAAATCCCTTGGGAAAAAAAAAAATCATTTCTCTATTCATACATGTGAACAGAAAGAGAAATGCATCCCATACCAGAGAAAAGGGTGAAGAACACAATTTCCCTAAAACAAGATATTAGAACTGGGCGGTATAATGTACACCACAGAGAACTGTTTGGGGAAAAGTTAAAAAGAATACACTGCACCAATCAGGTCTCCAAGATCCAGGTACAAGAACAAGGGGATTAACCTGATCTAGACCCTACTCACATAATGTTTACAGTAAAAATAAGAGTGTTTTTCAACAGATGCTGTGTTCTTTTAACTCACAAAACAGTAGCTAAAGCTTTGTAGATTTGTCTGGCATCTGGGGGCAACGCTTGCTGACCACAGGAATTAAAACCTGGTAGACTTGCTCCTTGGCGTCAATCTGTGTACAGTAATTACTACAAATGCCGCATGAAAAATCACTGTGAAAGAGAAGACACAGCCCGGGGAAACATGTGAGCATCTACAGGGATTAGCACTGCTTTCCCTTTTGAATGACCGCATCAAGTTGCCAATGAAAAGGAAGTTTATAGGGATAAAGTTTAAAAAATAGTTCCACAACTCACAGCGAACGGTAACTGAGGAACGCAAGTGTGGAACCACACTAGAGCCACTCAAGTCTGTCTGTGTGAGTCCCATACTAGAAGAGCAAGGAGCTCTCCATAGCCCAGCTACTTAAAGAAGCAACTCAGGATAAGCAGTCTGGGTGGTCATTTTAAATAAGGGGCACTCACAGGGTAATTCACAGCCTTTTAGTCTCAAGAGCCTGGGAGTAAACATCCCAAACCTTGCTACAGAGACACTAAGAGGCCACGAGAAGAACCAATCATTTCTGTTAGATATGTAGCATCAATTTCTGGATGATTTTTGTTTTGCACCACCCATGAAGGGGGTGTGCTTAGAGCCCCCCCCAAAAAAATGGATTTCATCCATGAAAGCTTGCTATTTGTTTTATTTTAAGTGGTCCAATACAAGATATCACCTACTCATGCATTTCAAGGAGGCAGGCTTAAGTGCATATCCTAGTGTGTGAAGCACATGCAGATTCTCCAAGTAACAGAATTTTGACATCCGGCAACTGGATAACAGAAACATATCTAATAAAAACTTTGAGCTATACAATTGGCAGCTGTGGGAAGGGATCTCCAAATGACTGTAAAATGGACTGCAAAGGAAAAAGTAAACTGAACCGCTAGCCACGAACCACTGAATTGAACATACTGATGTGGAACTATCAAATTATGCTATGATGGTCTTAATTCTTTTACATCACATGGCAATCCAGAGGACATCAGGCAATATTTTTCAGCTAAAATCCTGTTTAGTTACATCCACAAGCATAACACAAATGGCGTGCCTATTGGAGGTGAATGGCATCAAGTTAAGAAATCACCATAGACATTATCCGTTGCATATGGAATCACAGAACCCGATGCACAACAGATGATGTCTGGATAGCTCAGTGGTTTAGGTCTCTGGCAGAGGCTGGGAGTTCGATTCCCCACAGTGCTTCCTTGACAGGGGCTGGACTCCATGATCCATAGGGTCCCTTCCAGCTCTGCTAGGATGATGATGGCTATGCTGGTTTCCTCACTTGAGGCAATTTGCTGCTGAAATGCCACTATATCATTAGGTAAAGGTTCCCCTTGACATTTAGTCCAGTCGTGTCTGACTCTAGGGTGCAGTGCTCATCCCCATCCCCAAGCCATAGAGCCAGCGTTTGTCCAAAGACCGTTTCTGTGGTCACGTGGCTAGCATGACTAGACATGGAACGCTGTTACCTTCCCACTGAGGTGGTACCTATTTATCTACTCACATTTGCATGCTTTCAAACTGCTAAACTGACAGGTTTTGAACAACCATATCATTCCGCTGATATAAAATTCCAAAGAGTTTGAGTGTCAGCTCAACAGAAGAAATGCCAGCAGCATTATTTTAGTTCTTGTAAACTTCTTTTAGGGAGATCCTATTTTGTAACTCCCCTCCTCTCCTAGCAATGTAAAATTTGCAGGAATTCACAGTTACAGCAAACATGAAAATAATCTCTAGCACTGTCAGTGATGCATGTAGGATTTGATTTCTTCCTAGTTTGTCCTCAAAGACGACAAACCCAGAAAACCTTAGAATGCATTAATCTAATATTTACAGATGACACAACAAAACCCAGATTGATAATTAAACTGTAGTAGGTAAATATTCAAAGTATTTACAATCTGTCTAACTTTAAAGCAAAGCATACCTACTCCGGCAGAAGTCAGATCTAAAAAAATGGAATACAGTAGTGCTCCGCATGACGACAATAATCAGTCCCACTGTCTAACTTTAAAGCAAAGCATACCTACTTCGCCAGAAGTCAGATCTAAAAAATGGAATACAGTAGTGCCCCGCATGACGACAATAATCCGTCCCATTGAAATCACTATTTAGTGAAATCGTCGTCATGAGAAATCCGTTTCCCCATTGGAATGCATTGAACCCTGGTTTACTGCATTCCAATGGGAAAAATATCTCGTCGTCCAGTGAAGATCGGCCATGAAAAATACCTTGTCGTCCAGCGAAGATCGACCATGGGGAAGCCATTTTGTGAGTGCTGATCAGCTGTAAAAATGGCTGCCCTGCAAAGAATGTAAAGCATGTGTCCGGAAAACACAGGGCAGCTATTCTGCGAAGCTGACAAACAGCTGTAAAAATCGTCAACGTGCGAACAAACGGATCACGAAGCATGGACCTAATCAACGTCCAGCAGAAATCCCCCACAGGAATGACTATTTTGCGAATCGCTATAGCAATCGCAAAAAGTCATTGTTATGCGGATTCGTCATTTAGCGGGGTCGTCATCTTGCGAGGTACTACTGTATAGTGGTGCCTCGACTTACAACCGTCCCGACATACAAGCATTTTGAGTTGCGACCAGCTCCGGCTGCAACATTTTGCTTTGACTTGCAGCTGGAGCTTCAAATTGCAAACAGAAAAGAGGTAGGGGGAAAAAGGCAGGTAATTCAAATGTAGGTACTAACCGTTGGTCGGCAAAGAGCTTCTTTGTAGCTCTTTCACCCCAATGGTTAGAGAGTGTGCGTCAGAGGAGGCTTCGGACTGCCTGGTGCTGCTTTCTGCTCCTGAATAAGTACAGTGGAACCTCTACTTATGAACTTAATCTGTTTTGGAACGGTGACCGTAAGCTGAAACGTTCGTAAGTAGAAGCACCATTTCCCATACAAATGCATTAAAAACCGATTAATCCATTCTGGCTGAAGAAAAATCACCAAAAAATTAAAAAAGCACAGCAAGCCTAGTCGGAAGGTGCTCCGTTGCTGAGGATTTAAGAAAAAAACTCAAAAAACAAAAAACACTAGAGCCACCTCCACTGCTGAGGTTTAAGAAGGAAAAAAATTCCAGAGCCCTGCAGAAACACACACACATACACTCACTCCTCTGAAGCAGAACACAGAAACATACCCTCCCAGCAGACACAGACACACACACACGCTCACTCTGAAGTAGAGCCACTAACAACACAGCATAGAAACACCAAAACTCACCCAGCACAGTTTTTTAAAAGGAGAAAACAGGAGCTTACCTCCCTGCAGACACACACACAGGCTCACTCTGAAACAGGAGGATCTCCCAAGCCTCCAACTGCGACATAACCTATAACTGCCAAAAGAGCTACAGCACAAAGAAGCAGCCTCGGCACCACCTAGAGTTAGAAATTTGAATTGCCCGCCTTTTTTTCCGTTGAAGCGCCATTCTTAAGTAGAAGCAAAATTTTGCGAACGGAGCTGTTCATAAGTTGGATCATTCATAGGTAGGGACGTTCGTAAGTAGAGGTTCCACCATACATTTATTTTGTTTTGCAGGGCGGGTTTGTTTTGGGGGGGGCGGGATTATGTTTCTGTGCTGTGATTTTTTTTGGTGTGTGTCTTTTTTTAGCCTCATCGCATTCCGATGGAGCTGTGTGTGTGTGTGTGTGTGTGTGTGTGTGTGTATTGTTGTTGTTTTCAGCCCAATAGCGTTCCGATGGGGCTGGCTGTGTGTGTGTGGGGGGGTGTTTTTTGTGATTATTTTTTACCCTCACTGCGTTCTGATGGCGCTTGTTCTGTTTGTTGTTGTTTTAGAGGTTTTTTTAATTATTATTTTTCGGCTGGAACGGATTAATGGGGTTTCAATGTATTCCTATAGGAAATGGTGCTTCGACTTATAGCCATTTTGAGTTGCGCCCATCTTCTGGAACGGATTTTTTTTAGCAAATCTGGGCTAATTAGACTTTCTGAATGGACACATAGGACCGCACTATAAACTTAGGAAATCAATGCTGCGTGAAGGAGTTCTGAACAATTAGTGGCTCATTTCAGTCAAATCTCAAAATCAGGGTTTGTAAGATGAGACACTTCCCTCTTCCATTCTCCAACCATCACGTGCCCATCTCCCTGCATTTTCTCTTTAGTGCTACATGCTGTGTTTTTCTTCAACAATTCAATGCACTATGATATGCACTCATCTATAACTTTCTAACCATCACTTTAAATGGGGTCTTTAATCTGGTTTGGAAAGTATGTACTATCATTTGCTAATTTAGACATCACTGCAAGTTACGGTTATGCTAAGTAATCTGGTATAAAATGCTACCTGAATGTACTGTATACTCTTCACTTCAGGCAGGCTTTTCCCCAGTGACTGGTTGCATAACAATTGGGACTGCTGGGTTTTTGGTTTGTTTTACTCTGTTTTGTTGTTTGTTTGTTTCCCACCTCCCCTTCCAGTTTCTATATTGTTTTAAATATTGCAAACTGCCTTGGGTCCTCTTGAGGCAAAATACAATGTATAAGTATTTTAAATAAACAAATACATTCTATGACACTTTAGTGTCTGTTTTCTTTGTCTTCTTTTCTACAGAGAAAAACAAACAAGGACGAAGTGTGCAACGTCTGAGGTCAAGCAGGAATGTGGCACAGTTTCTCATATACTGTATCCATGGCTGTACACTTAATGAATATTTGAACTGAAATAGCACAAACATTTGACTTCTGCATGTTGGCAATAAGTACCAGCTTTTAGCTTCTGGACATGTTGTCTCCAAATAAATTACCTTTCCAGTCTCCTTAACCAGTACACTGAAGAAAAAAACAGAAATTTTCACACTGCTACCTTAACACATACTCTCGGAAGCAGCAAATGAGCAGAACGAGAGTTTTGGATTATGCCCAAAGAAGTGTAACAGTTCTATCTAGTTGCATTCTAGTTCAAGAAATATATTAACCAATGATATAAAACCACCTCCTTTTCTTGGTGATTAAAAGCACACTTGGCTTATTTAGCATAAGACATCAACGTTAAGATTTTGTTTGATTTAACGGTACACCAACAAAAATCACCCTTCCATGCATAGGATGTTTGATTAGCAGCCTTCATTCTACCTCTTCCCACACCCTTTAAAAAGAAAATTTCTATATCCTGTACACGGGAAAAAGCCTTCTCTAAACAAGATGCCACAAAAACAGAATGTTTTCCAAAAACAGCAAATGTCACACAGTTTCATAGCACAGTTTTATGTTCTGTGTGGATAGCTGACCTCCTCAGCTATCTGCACTAAACAAGGCCTCATTAATTTTATCAGAACATTAAAATATCAGGTTGTTTTCATAATCCATCATCAGACATAGCAACGAATGAGTGAACAGATTTCAGACCAAGAATATTCCATTCTCATGGCAATTCTGCCAAGTTTTTTTTAAAAAGCTGTAGCCATCTCACTGAACAACCCCTATAAAGCATCTATCCCATTTCATAACTATAAATACTACAGCCTAATTTGGCTTTTTGTATTTGCAAAAAGCCATGTGCACAAAATGCTATAAACAAATACTTACGGTACCATGGGAAATTGTAAGGAAACCATTTTTAACTGTGCATTTCCTCTTCTGCCACACTTTTCTGATTCTGTTTTTTGAAAAAATAAAAATAAAAAAAGATGTGAAGTGATCCAAATGTTGCGGTAACTTGCAGTATTGAACATGATCCCAAACTACCTTCTACTTTTTCTTCTCAGAAGTGCTATATTGTTGGGTGTTCAATTCCTCACTGTGGATCCCATAGCAGCCAGCCTGACTTCAGGCAACCTGTACAGTCCCAGGGCACCCCAGAAGAAGGGAAAGCCAAACTATTTCTGAGTAATCTCTACTTGGAAAATCCGGGAAAGGGTTGCCATAGGTCGGAATCAACTTGACGGCACAGAGTCAATCAATCACTGTATTATACATACCCATCACTTTTCTTATAGAGGCTGCCATCTCTTTCGGTTCCATGCTCCTTATTTCCCTGAGGCTGATGTAAACTGTAAGTTGTACCCTGACGGAGCTGAGAATCCTATGGCAGGGGGAGGAGGAAAGAGACTGGTCAGAGATCACGATACCCTGAACTCTCTTAACTCAACCATCTCAGAATTAATGGCATCCAATTTCTCCCAGTTCAATTCATCATAAACATAAATAAACTAGAATGAAACGGTCTGACTTGACTAACAAAAAGATGCTTCAACAACGTTCACTTTTTCCACTACGCAACAAAGTGAAATTTAAAATCCAGACATGCCAGCACCATCACAAATATCTATTCTGCAAATCCCTATATGGAGACAATCCCACAAGGTCTAAAAAGTTATTCTAGATTGCCTTGCGAAAACCTTCATCAAATATCACTCAAGATTCTTAGATGACCAATGGTGCAGTCTCCCCTTGCTTGTTATGGCCTCATCCAGGCAGCAGGTTCCAGGAACAATTGCAGAAAGCGTGAACAGATTAACTAGCCCTCCATATGTACAACCCTAATGTCCAGAAATTTGATTCTTAGTAGAAACTCACCTACTGAGATACAATCTTGTTCTATCTGCTTTGCAAAACAGAGTCTTACTAACTTACACGAGCTTAATGAACATATATGTATGTTCTAATGAGCAATCTTGCACATACAGGGTGAAAGAACAGTCTATCTCAACTCTCATGCACCAAGATGTAACATTTCAGTCCTGTTAAATTTTATTCAGAATCAACAAAGCAGCATCCTTACAATGCAGACACCTGTGGCAAAGTCACTCTGATAGTAGCAAGGATTTCTCTATGTACTGTTGTTCACCTGCTCCTCAACAAATAAAAATCAGGTAGGAAAGAAAACATACAGCAGATTTATTGATTATTGCCATTGGGATACATTTTTGTCCCAGCCAATGTAATACATTTTTCCCCATGTTGTGGTGTGCACTGACATGCTCTAGTTGCCAACAGGTTGACCCAATGGGATAAGACAGTGGAATTCTCATGAGGGTTAGGAAATACAAAGTATGTACATAAAACTCTAATCCAACCGTAACTCAGACATAACCCTAATCTTAGCACACTGGAATTTTCACTGGGATTAGGACATACACCAGAACTTACTTAATGGAAGATATTCTTTTTTTAAAAAAAATCCGAGTGCATAAGAGTTGATGAGTAACAATGATTGCACATAACGTTTCAAATAATACTGAACACAGACAACATGTAACATTTCAACTACTCTGTGTATAAATAAATATATTTCACACATCTTTCATAACACAATACAAGACATGGGAACGCGTCAATGGACTTCTCAGATGACAAAAGCCAAGCAACTGGATTTCAAAAAAAAGAGAACAGTTTTCGGGAAAGCAGGTTTGGCCACAAAATATTGCTCTGTGGAGGACTCTAGTTCAAGATGCTACACACTCTACGTCATCTTTCTTTTGTTCCTGCCCACCTGCTGGCCAATATCCAGTCAGCATTCCATGCCCGCTGCACACTCTCATTTCTCACCAAGCAGCTGGAAGTAACCCACCCCCTTGAGCTTTTCCCACTCTACATATTTTTTGGACTTTACTAACCCTTGGTTTCACCCAACTGGTACTTGCCTTCTGTGAAGGCCTGATACTGCTTTATCTATTTTGCACACATCTGAGACTGTTCCTCACTGTCTGATGATCTGGCTTAAAATTCATGTCTTAGTTGAAACAGCTAATATTCACCTACTCTGTAAGCTATGAAACTTTGGCAAACAGCCTCTTTAAGAAGGCCAGTTACTTGAGATGGACATGACATTCATGCAACGTACTATGCACAAAAAATGTTCAAAAGACTTACTCTCCTAGACTTCGGTCACAAAAGGCAAATGCATTTTAGGAAGAAGAGAAGATCAGTTGCAATGTAAAACAGAAACATTATCAGATCGTATCTCAAAAGAATACACTAAAAGGTTAATGTATGAATATAATCCCCTTTGAATATGCAACTAAGGGTGTACATTCCAGGCCAGTGTACTTGAAGGACAGTCAGCGTATTACTTGACATGCAACAGAAGCAAACACACAATACCAAATTATTCATATTGTTTTACTTTCCACCAGATGGTTCATCCCAATTTAAAAAAACACAAACCCGCCATCCCTTCGAACACCATGTTTTAGATTCCTCTCAAAGGACTGAAGCCATAACCCAACAAAAACATATGCACATAGAGGGGGGGTGTACTGCACATGCTGATAGATATTTCATGAAGATGCTACTGTGTTCATATCACAGTTCATTCATTCGGTCCTTTCAGCAGGCTATGCACAGAACAAAGAATGCCAACACTGTTGGAAGAAATAGCAGCAAAGGCCGCAGAGACACTGGACCTGGGCACGGGCAAGTAAGAACTCACCAGACCAGAAACCTGTGGGCCGTAACGCTGCGAAAAAGAACCCTACTAGCCACTACAGGTTTCACACTCACAAGAGACAGCTTGTCCATGGAGACAAAGCATCTAGCAGGAAATGAGAAAGAGGCAATAGAATATTAGGCTTCAAGCCAGAAGAGTGACCCCATAAAACCCTGCAATCCTGAGGAAGAGGGAGGAGCCTATAAGAGCTCACAAACCCATCACTCAATTGTCCAAGTACAGAAGTCTGACTTTTCCTGTTTGTGGTCACAGATTCAACCAAACCTCTGTTGACTATCACTAACGTAGGGCCAATCTGCTGGGCCCATTTCCCAATCTTAGCCCTTTTGTAGCCTCAAGTTGTCAGATCCAGACAAGTACATATGGAATTTGCATGGGGGCCACTGAAAAATTGTAGAAATGTGGTAAGACAATCCTACTCTTAAAGGTGAATATGATTATTCCTTACACAATTTAAGGACATTCAGATATAACTAGAACAGTCATACATAGGAAAACTGCAATTTCTGATATAACCAGAAATATACTGTATTTTTCGCACCATAAGATGCACTTTTTCCCCACACAACAGGGGGGGGTTGGAAAGTCTGTGTGTCTTATGGAGCGAAGAAAACAGATTACAGTATATTTTCCTGTTTTCTTCTCCTAAAAAATTGGTGCGTCTTATGGAAAGGTGTGTCTTATGGAGTGAAAAATACGGTACTTTTCAGGTTTTGAACTCATTAACTCAACTCTTTAAATTATGCTTGACTGTGAACTAATTCATGAGAAACTGCTCTACATATCTGCTCACTGCTCATGGTGACCTTGACAAACTTTGAAATATCACCTGAATCAGGACTGGTGATAGAATGTCCTGACGTAGTGCATACAACTGTGATAGGGAATTTTTCAAGGAGAGAGCACAGGCTTCCTTTATTTTTTAGAAGAACAGAGTTTTAAATCGTATCAGCAATCTCACATCATTTTTGTTATTTGTAAAGGTAATATATCAGGCAGTGAAACGGGGGGAAAGATGGAGTAAAAGGCTTTTCTGGAGAAGAAAATTACCCCAGGAAGAATGCAGAAAATCTATCCTTAATTTAAACAAACAAACAAAAAGAATTCCTTCACCTAAACGCAGCAACCATCAACGCATGGGAGATACACATTGGAACACTGGCACCGGAAAATGGCTCAAGTATTTACCATACCCGAGGTTGTGAGTTAGCTCTAAAGCAAGCATGCCGCTTGCCTTCATTCTGAATTGTAAAAAGTGCTGGAGAAGATGGAATTATAACGGAAGAAAATCTACATCTCTGAAACAGTGGTGGATCAATATCTGGGGATCTAGAGACCAATTTTCTGCCCACAAGATTCTCCAGAAGTTGCACCCACCCCAGCCAAAACACCTATGAGAAATTAGCAGTGGGTCGGAGTCCACTTCTTGATTTTAAAAAACTGCTATTTTGAAGATGAAGACTCCATGGCATGTTTTAAGAGATGAACCATGACTTTCTCAATTCAACTTTTCCTCCCAAAAACAGAGAGGATTTGCAAAGAGATCATGTTGGGGGCCACATATGGCCCTAGGCCACACCCTGCCAACAGAGCGTGCCTCTTCCAAGCCCAACGTGCTCACTTTTCACTTCTAAATTGTGGAATATAGTTTCCATAGCCTTTTTTTTTTTGGTCTCTACATTATCATCAGATTAATTTTTTTCAAAGATGATTAGAGGATTTACTAGATATCACTTGTCCTTGAACAAATGAATAGTTTTGACACACTGAACCAAGAGCAGTTTTTCATTTCTATGAACTGTCTGGGAATTATTCCAAAAGCTGTCACATGGATGCAAAACATGATATTTTGACTTCTTCTTCAGTTGCAAAATATGTACTATAATGCCTTCCTGAAATGGAGCAAGGCAGCCTTTGTGGGGAGTGGGTGGAAGAATGTGTGACAGATAAATCTTTCAGAATATCTAAGGAAGCTGAACAACATTGAACCAAAAGCACAATGCACTAATGTCCTATAGAAAAGAAAATATTAGTAATTGTCATTAAATTAGTATAGGTTGATAAATCTTTTTACATGCTCACCTCTTTCTGGTCAACCTGAAGTGCAGATTTTAAAATATCCCTAAGCTGAATCAACTGCTTTCTTTCTTCATCTTGTACTTGCTTTATCTGGAATTGAGATGTAATAAAATATATAGGTCAGTATTTATCTTGGGTGCCGAATCTCTTAGATTCTCTAGAAAGGGAAACTAACAAACAAACAAAAAAAAGTCTGCAAAATTTAGTTGACTAATCTTGGAACAAGCAAGTATAACCACAATTTCTACATCTATTTATAACCTTTATATTATTTTAAGTTATGTTGAGTAAAATCCTATTTGTGTAGGTTTTAACATAAAATTATATCCGCATACGAGTTTATGTAAATGTGTTAACATAAACCTATGCCTGCATTACACTCAGGAACAGGAAATTGTGCAAATTCAATTGTACAATCAGTCACACAATTCCCAATGCAACCACTGCAAAATATGCCAGAAGAAATGCTACTGCAGCATAACGTTGAGTTACATTTGTATAGCCTGGAAGTTGAGTCACGGCAAATATACTTCTTTCTTGTCAGGTTGAAATATTTTGCTACTCATCCAAGTAGCTTCTTCAATCTGAGGAGAGTTGGTAAGAAGACCCTGATATATCCTCCACGTTGGTCTCACTTCCGCCTAGTCCAACATGGAGGATAGGTATATTAGGGATCTCCTACCGACTCTCATCAGACTGAAGAAGTTACTTGGATGAGTAGCAAAACATTTCAACCTGACAAGAAAGAAGTCCAGTTGCCATGACTCAACTTACAGATAACCATACCTGAATGACTGAGAATCTTCACAGATACATCTATGTAGCTAAACAAGGGGGATTCTGCCCAGCATGAATAGAAAACATCATTATACTTTGTTTGAGCTATGTAAAATAGTCCCTGAAAATTCTTTTGTATTATTTGGATAAAGAGGCTTCAAACATATCAAGAACTATACTATATTGGCATAGCAATCTGTTCCTTGTCTTAATTTGGCTTCTGAGAGCTCTTTTTTATTTGCGTTGTTGTTGTTAAAACACCAGGCACAGACTTCCCTATCCCTTCTTTCTATGACACAACTCCATCTGCCCTTCCAAGTGGCCTTAACTGCATTTAAGTGTCACAACAGCATTAAAATTAATGACTAGAAATTGAAGCCAGCTTTTGAAGCTGGTTTATCAAACTCGGGTTACAAGACAACTTAGTTTACACTAACCATCCTTATTATCAATGTTAGTGTCAGAAATGTCAGGGTTGGCAGGAAAGGGCGAGGGAATTTCTATCCAAGAAAGCAGGGAGGGGGGGAGAGAGATGTGCACTTTATCAGAACAAAGTGGGTACCAGGGACTGCTCCAGTCCACAATCAACCAACATTTCTGCAAGCTTGTTTTCTGCTGCTTGAGAGGGTACAGCCCGAATCAAGATATTCATATCACCAGACAAGATGTTTCAAGTAAGGATTAGGAACAAATTCCTGATTGAAGAGCTAATCAACTGAAAAACAGACTAGCTTAGAAGGCGAAAGACTTTTATTCAAGGTGTTTATTAATGAGAAGATCGATAGCTCCCTGTCTAGAATGTTTTAATTCCAGATTTTCTGCATTGGCCGGGGGCAGACTGGATGACCCCCCAATTCTATGATGGTACAGAATCCTCTCTGTTTATGGACAGCTCCCACCCTTCGTAGGAAGTTAGAACAAGCAAACGTTAGGGCAGCAGGGCCAACAGTTTCCAATGTAAGGTGATTCAGTATAGTCCTGCTTTCTCTCCCCCATGTTCCAGCTGAAACATATCTTTTTTCAGCTGAAGCCATATGATGGAACAGGGAGAATCAGTGAAAATATTTTTACATGTCTTTTCTTAGTCATCACATACAGTGGTCTCTTTTACCCTTTTCAGAAATAAATATTTACCACCTCTTGCTTCTGGTTAGGTTTATTTTGTTTTTTAAATTCTGTTTTGGTTTTTGCGGTTTTTCAAATATCTATATTTCCAAAATCTGTTTTTCAACTTGCTTTATTTTCTTTCTCTCTTCCTGCTCTTTATCTTTTCCTATGGATCCATTTCTTTTACTAATTTAACTTTCAAAGTACAAGGGTGATTTTTGTTATTTAATTTAGATTCTGAAAGCAACTGTGTGTGTTATAAATTTTGTCAGTCACTTTTACAGGCCCTGTCAGAGAGGCAGAATACATAGGCACTAAGTGATATGACTGACATATGGCTACTTACTGTGTGAAGGTCTGTAGAGAGCTTCTCTATAGAGGGCTTAAGGCTTTCAACTGCTTTCAGACCATCCTGAAAAAAGCTTCAGAAAAATAAAACATTTTGAAAGCAAACCATACACAGCTTTTTAAGATGTTTGAATATTCAACACAGAAGAGCTTTGTGACATATAGGTGGCCCCTTGTCAAAATGTGAAAATCTGTTAAGAATCTTCAACAAATTTCCAGAAGCACTGCTACAGTACAGAATCTACTCCCAACGTATAAAAAAGAAGGCAAGGTTTGCTCCATCAGCCATGTTTGACATCAAGCCCTGGGGGGGGGGCGGTCCCCACTGGAATTATTGCAGAAGCAAAAGTTCTGCAATAAGATGAGGCATGAGGCCCTCCCTCCCAAATGAAAACTAGATGTTCACTTCAAAGTTTTCCAATTTTTATTATTTTGGGGGGACAGAAAATTGGGCCTCGGACCCTACAAAGGCACCCACCCCTGTTGTAAAAAGTATAGCAGAAGTACATTTCAGTAGTCTTGGCATAGAAGCAGCTGTCTTACGAATCCTCTTTTATGGTTTAGATCCACACTTAGCCATGCCTAGAATAGGTCTATTGAAACTAATGGGACTTTCATCCATCACGATTGACTGGTCCCACTGGTTTCACTCAGTCAGAATGACTAAGCTCAGGTTTAACTCTATGGCTGGGGTGGTGAACCTCTGGCATGCCAGATGTTTTGGATTGCAATTCCCATAGACTTTTACCAATAGCAGTACAAGCAGAATTTCTATGTTGAACTACCTCTGACTCATCAAAAGCTCACCACCTCTGCTTTATGGGATTTTACCCTAAATTATTTTTATGAAAGATGATGATTCAAAAGAATAAGAGGAGGAAATTATACAAAAGTGCATCCTTGATTGCCTAGGCAAGTGATATTTTGAGATAAAGAGATGAGTTATAGGCCTTATTGCAGACTTTGTTCCAGTGCTCTCTGACTTCTCTTGTTATCTGCACAGGAGAGCCAAAGGGCAAAAACTGATCGACTCCCCAAGCTTAATGAAGAGCCAAATGACCAACATGGCTTGCAGTGAATTTAGACTAATATGGCTTGCAGAGGATTTAAAAATGAAAAGTGGACCATCCACTCTAACAAAATACTACTACTACAGTAGTACTAATAAGTACTACTATTGCTGCTAAGTAAGATTTATTTTACTTCTGTAGTCCCGCACCTGACAAAGCAAACTGGTGTTCAGTTTTGTTGCTTGTGAAACATACAAGTATCAAAACTATCAAAAAATCTGCCTATGTGGGACTAATTTTCTGATAGGCTTTTAAACCCCTAATTTGTATCATGGCCATACAAAATGTGTACTCGACAACGCTGGCCAAAACACAAATTAACTTCAAATCTGCTGCTCTTTCATTTTCTACGGGCCTATTCACATGCAGTCCACTATTGTTGAAAGCCAGTTTTTGTACTTTCCATTATGAACACTGCATGTTTAATTAAGGAATAAAATACTAAAGCAGTGGCTCCTCATGGTTCATTCTGAGCATGGGAAGTTGGCTTTCCTTTGTTGATATAACAGCTAAGACTTGCTTTATAGAACATCAGAAGAGTAAAAGGATGAAAATCAAAATTCTCTCATTATTTCTGATGCTTTCAAACCTGCTACAGTATCATGCAAATCCAAACCCAGTCACAATGCTGATCATCCGACAACAGAACAAGAGCAGAAGATGCAGTGGTGATCTGATTGCTTGCTATGTATGCTATTGACACCTCAAAATATAAACCCTTTGGCGTGTGAGTAGCAAAAATGAATGGGAAGTCAGGGCTTGCAATCCACTGTTCCTAACTGTGTATTCCTCCCCCACAAAACAAACAAAGCAACAAACACCAAACTCATGTCTTGTTTCCAGACACACACTGCAAAACAGGAAAGCTGGCCTAGCAGCACATCTTGCTCATTTTCATGATGAGACTACTAATCATGCCAAATGGCCATGTGGAAATTACAAATGATAATGCCTTGGTATTATCTCAGCCTCACGCCTCATTTCATTTGAAATAATACATCACCAAGACAATAATTGACCTTTTAGTATCATTCATCTCATGGAAGAGCAACAGTGTAGTATGAACAGATCAGTCACATAAATCTGTAGATGCATTTTAAAATATATAATAACAACAGCTTCTCAGAGAAACTAACAATATTTTCTTTTAAAACCCCACATACACAATTTACCAAGCTAAAAAACATACTTGCACTGTGCGTGGAAATACTTGATCAGGTTCTGAAGCAAGTCAACTCCTTTTTTAATCTTGATTTCATTGACTTTCAACAGGTACTGTTAGGATACAATGCATATAGAGAAGAATATTAATTACTACTTCAAAGTAAGACTCATAGGGCTGTGATATCGGGACCATTTTATATGCAATTCAAACTAAGGCAGTGGTGAACACTGGCAAGTTTTCTTATTGTTAACAAAAAAATGCTGTGTGCCTGTCTTCTCATAACAGTGGGAAGACAGGAATATTTTTGGTCACCAGCATTTGCAAACCACTGTGTTCCTTCTGTGAAAAACTTGCCTTTTGCATTGAAACATTTATTGTGTACAAAATACAACATTTCTATCAAAAACAAAAACAAAACAAAAAAAACCCAACCCAAAACATTTTTGTGAATTTTTCATGAAAAGGGGCTGAAATGTGAAAATTTCGCAAAAATTCTCATGTGAGTAAGGACTTGAAATTTTTTGTACTCAACTTTGAGAATGAAAAAAGGAAAAAATGTACATCTGTAATTCAAAGAAGGGGACTGTCTGTAGTGGAAAATACAGTGGTGCCTCGCTTGATGAGGATAATCCGTTCCAGCAAAATCACCGTAGAACGAAATCGTCGTCAAGCGAAAGTAAAAAACCCATTGAAATGCATTGAAAACTGGTTCAATGCATTCCAATGGGTGAAATACCTCAGTGTCCAGTGAAGATCCTCCATAGGGCGGCCATTTTCCGTTGCCTGTAATGTGAGGAATCTGTCCTAAAACACAGCGAGGAGCCATTTTGCACAGCAGGCGGCCATTTAGAAAACCTGACGATCAGCTGTTTTGATCGTCGTTAAGCGAAAAATCGGTTCCTGAAGCAGGGAACCTATCGTCATTAAACGAAAAAACCCCATACAAACATCGTTTTGCGATCGCTATAGCGATTGCAAAATACTCATCATTAAGCGATTTCCTCATCAAACTAGGTAATCGTCAAGCGGGGCACCACTGTACTTGGTATATGTAGAACCTCCCTACACAACTAAGAACTCTGGGAGTCAGGGTTTCCAACTGCATGGAGATGCTGCACATGCACACGGGGTCTCCTCTTCAGACTGTCCTTCATCCTATGTGGAGGTGATGCCAGGCAGAGGGCAGGGTGACCACTTTCTCCTCAGTCACATGATCAGAATAACCCTCTTCTGAATGCCTGGATAGGGCTTTATCATTTGCCAGACCCTCAGCAAAGGCAGCTCATGTTTAATTAACTGGGCAAACAAACACTCCTTAGCAGATAAACATAAATTATATATTTTTAAAAAACGATCTTAAGTATCAAACACTATTCATCTCCATTTGTACAAAGAAGCCATGTGTCAGTTGCTTTTTGTGTTAAATGAATTTTCATTTTGGAAGCCAGCTTAAATATAAATCACCAAAAGAAAGACTTACATTTTTACACAAATGCATAGGTATCTTTCATATCTTATCATAATGTGCTAGGCACCACTGTATTTCTCTGGAGGGCAATTTAAGACTGAAAAGCTATTTTTTAATTATTATTATTGTGAAGAACAAAACATCAGGGAAGAACTGGAGAAGTGAAACCATACACACTAGATTTTAAATAGATCCTAGACAGAGAGTTGTAATATTACTACTGCTTTATTTATTATAGCACTTAAAAGTTCTTAACCTTATGCTCTAATTCTCCACATAAGAGTTTTCTATCACTACATTTCTGTCATTATCAACTTGATTGACCATAGTTAATTCAGCAGAAAAATGCTGAATTTTAAAATGTTCTGCCACACTTGCTTGAGTCAGACCATCCTCAGATTATTGTCTCAAATGGCCTCCCACAGCCTGGTGAATTCCAGATGTTTTGGAAATCAGCTACTACAATCGCTCACCACTGCTCACACTGGGAGAAGTTGCAGTCAGGAAAATCTGGAAAGCTTCAGGTTGGGGAAGGGTAAACTGGAGGATCAGACAAGCTACAGATTCGTGTACTACTTAAATTCCATCCCACCATTCTCCCTAAAGTGGACTCCAATAACCCACAAATTAAAAAAAAAAAAACAGCTCCAGATACAAATATAAAAAAGTTTTAATATTAAAAATAGTAAAATAGAATTGGATAAAAGTACTGTATTCTAAAAAGCACACCAATAAAAAAATATATTCCCTGTAATGGTTGTTGTAGGTTTTTCGGGCTGTTTGTCCGTGTTCTGGAGTTCTTCTTCCTAATGTTTCATCAGTCTCTGTGGCTGGCATCAGAGACTGGCGTAACGTTAGGAAGAAGAACCTCCAGAATATGGCCAAACAGCCCGAAAAACCTACAACAACTATCAGATCCCCACAGTAAAAGCTGTCGAGAATACATTCCCCGTAATATTTTTAAACAGACCCTGCCCCGCTCCCCAGAAAAGATCAACTGTTCCCTTCCGACATTACATTTCCCTCTTCCATTCCTGGGTGCCCATAACTGTAAGTTTTGCATTGATATCCAAAAGGGAGAGATCTGGTTAAGTGTTACTGCCTGAGTGAAGTGATAAGCTGGCCCCATTTCCTATTCTGTTGACAGAGCTAAATCTTACTTCTCTGCACTGAAAACACGAAAGCGTCTTTAACAGCTCCTGAGACAGCACGCTAGTTAAGGGGGCTTTGGAGGACAGGTTACATGGTCTACACAGGTCTGTCCTCATATAGAAGGAATAAATTAGAAGTTCAGCCAAAACAGCTAAAAGGCCACCACTGCTCAATGCCTCCCTCACAAGTCTCTGTAGCTGCAAGTCAATCACCTGTATTTGACTAATAATAAGGCTGGATCTATCTAACCACTGGTTACATACCAACTTCTAATCATGCCACAAATCCTAATTTCCTGATTAGGAAACCAGCAAACCATGATTACCGCAGTTCAGCAACAAAGGAAAGAACTGCTGACCTTCAAGATCCAGGAAGAGAAGCTATAAAGGGGACAGACCAACTACCCCACATTCTCAACAGTCCAAAATGTGTTTTCAAGGGTGAGCCAAACTGAACTACTCTTTTATGACAGCAAAGAACAATCATGTTTAAAACTAAAATTAGCACCTTAAACCACTATACGTCAACACTTAAAGCAGCAAGTTCATTATAATGCTTCAGGGCTTCAGTGGCTTCCCCCCCCTCAAACAGCTGTTAAGTGTCCTTACTTAACCAAGTTAAAATGAGATTTTCATTTCTCAACAATACAGTAGCAGATGGTAACTTGAATGGGTACAAGAGACAATCCTCTAAGCTGAAGATAGGATGGCTGTGTAAAAGCTTTGCCTATTCCATTTATTTATAATCTGCAAATAATAGCCTATGTTGTCTGTCAATATATTTGCTAAGAAATTAATCCAGCAATTGTTTCAAAGGCATAGCACCTTTTCCTGAAATTAGAACACTTAAATAATTTCAAAATTCCCTCGACTGATACTATGTGACACAGAAATTGCACACTGGGACACAAGGGACACAACTCACCAATGTTAGTAAACAAATGAAAGTGCTCCATATTCACTTTTACCTCACACATTTGTAACTGGAAGAATCTCCGCTCTTTTTCCATCTCTTCCGCTATCTCGGCTCCACTTATTTCTGTGCGGATCATTCCATGTAATTTTGCATGTTCTTTTTTCTCTTTTTCTATTTTGGTCCTATAGGAGACAGACCCCAAACAGAATAAATATACAAATCCTACACGATCAGACAAAATTTCCTTCCATAGCTTTTGTTTGTTTAAGAGTTGTGTTAATTGTTCTAAATTAAGCTACGATACACTACCACCCAGTTAAACTGAACAGCTCTGATCAGTTCAATATGAACACGACTGTATTCTCAAACTGAAACACTTCTAACTGAAATCAAGCCAAACTAATCCCAGCTGTGCAGCCCAGGGATAGGGGCCGTCTGAAGTAAAAAGGGGAAAGTTAGACAATTCTCTAGAGACCTCAAAGAGATAAAACAGTAATATTTGTCTCCTGTAAACCAGCATCACCTAAGTAGGCCCTTGATAAAATTGAGTCACTAATGGGGTGGGGTCTAAGAAATATGTTTTCTGAAAGAACCCTACAGAAGTGGAGGTAATAAAAATAGTGATGGTATTTTTCTTGAAAGTGTGTGAGATAGCAATACGATGAAAATGTCAAAGAAAGCATGCAAAAAATGCACTCTGCACAAAAACATTTCTTTTTTCAAGAGAGAAGCAAGCAGATTTTTAATAACAAAATGACCAAATTGTGAGTATCTGGGAGAGAGGCACAGTACTGTTCCTTTAACTTGTCTACTATCCTACTTAGTGACACCTACTGAGCCCAGTGCAGCTTTCCTTGTGCTAGATTATGAATATGTTCACCAAACTAATAAACAGTGTATTTGGCTGAGTGATGGCCAGCTGTTAAGAGCAATCATTTCATCCAGTGATAGCCAGCTTTACCCTACTGACAGAACAGAATTAAAACACAAGATCATTGATTATGATTTCCAAAGCTCTGACTAGCCATCAGTCTGAACACGTGGTAGCTAGCTCAGATGAGTTCTTGCAAACCTGTATATCATGCAGTCCAACTAGAATGGAATATTGCAAACCATATCCAATTCACAATTACATACATCTCTAATTGGATGGCATGAGGTAAACTGGAAATGTTTATAGGGAATGTGATAACTTTTTACTGTTGGTTTCAGAGATGAAAATGAGTGCCTGTGAGCAGTGAGTACAGGACCACTTGGAGACATATTTATCTACATATTAGTCACACCTTTTAGCATCTGAAAAGAAGTACACAACAGAACAACCTTCCTCTAATTGACCTCTGGTCCCAACACCAGGTAGAATGCATGGCTTACAGACAAATTCGTCTTTTCCCACCCAACAAAAAAATAGGCTTTAAAAAAGAGGCTTCATTTGTTCAAACTCGTTATCCCCTGTATGCCACATAGCTTATAAGAACAGAAGGACATTCCCCTAAGAAGGCACAGGTGGCCTTAAGAATCCCATGCAGTTCTGCAGGTTGCTCAGACCTCAACGACTGCCCACCTCAGAAGTCCTTCCCATCCACACAATACAGGCAAGAGATATATTGCCTAAAAGGTCACTGCACATCCTATGGGAAGAGCTGGAAAGTGTCTGTACAATCCTCGTAACTTGGCCCACTTTATCACACACCCTAAGTTTCAACTACCGCATTCCCTTAAGTAGCATTCAATCGCGTTACCAGCTTTACACGGCTTTTCCTGTCAAGAGTTTACTTTCCTTGAATGAAGCTTACCCCTTCCTCCAACAGCTCAAAGCACAGCTGTCATCTTTTCCTGTTCCTGAGCCAACTGGCACTGTGAATGCAAGCCAGAAGTCTGGGTCGAGGACTTCCAAGTCCCTGCTAAACCAGCTGCCCAGACTACCCGAAAGGTCACTGCGAAAACTGTATAACGTCTGTGTCTCCACAAGAGTGGCGGCATCACAGAGCGTGAAGCAGGAGTGTCAAAACTTACAATGTGTAATGAGGTAATTAGGATGACAAGACCCTTCAATATTTCAAATCCGTATACTGGTGCTCATGTTATTATTCTTAAAGTAGGACAGTGAATCCTATATCCTAAAATAAAGCAATGTCATATTTTGAAGTGAGTTGTACTCAGAAATGTAATCTGTCCTGAAACTGCTTAAAAGGAGATTCTCAGGGAGGAACAAAGGCTTAGGGCGGATCTGTACTTAGAGCACATGGTGAGATTCACATCTCTGGACTCAGGAAGGGACCTATTGCCCTTGAGCCCCAGCCACACCTCGATGCCTGAGGCTGATATTTCACAAATATCTATAATTTCAGGTTTATGCAAAAACATGCAGCATAGATGAAAGAAAAGAGTAGAGAGATTGGGTTTTCTTTTTTCTATCAGAGGACTTAGCCTGCATTACTTTTCTTAACTTGAATCTATTATATGCATTCATAAGAAAAGACATAATGGGTTAGATTAATTACACATCCTGGTTGTTATTTTCCTAAAAACCACCCAAAGGGTTCCTTCTGACAGTTTTAAAAGCAGGAAGTATTAAGGAAGGACTCTGCTCCCTGTCATACCACCCCGAGTTCTGGCAACCCAGTTAATTAAAGCCTATAATACAATTCACATATATTTTCCTCCTCAGTTGATTTTTCAGTAACCATAGCATTACATCTGCACTAGGCATCTGTGAGACACAGCTGGTTTCTTAAAAATAAGATGCCAACAGAAACTAGGGCACTGAAACCTGACTGACTCTTCTCCAGTGAAAAAAGGGGCTGCAACATTTACCATTTCGATGACTGTTGGCCATCATCTAAGGCTGCCAAACTAGGAGTACAAAAGTGGGTGCATTGATTTAAGTCTCCACTGCTTACTGGGCTTAAAGAATACAGAATCACGGCAGCTGTGATTCAAGTCCTTAGGCAAACTGGAAGTCAACTTAAGAGAATTTATATGAAGGGAAATATTTGCCTTCTATTAAGCATAACCAGTTTTCAGCAGACAGCCACTTCCTTCTCTTTCTCTCAACTGACTTCTCGGAAGGAGCGCAAAGCTATGTAAATGGCATACCTCCTTTGAAGAATTTGTAATCCAAATTCTTGCAGTTATATAATTAACATATGCATTTCATTATAGTCTTTGAATTTAGCCTCCCATGAGCCCAGCAATCCTGAATTCTGACAACATAATTCAAAAGTGCATATTCTAAGGCTGTACTGTAGAAACTGATGTATTGCAAAGAAAAGAAAAGAGGAGACAGAAACTCAAGCACTCAGGGCCCTGCTTCCTGCTCCAGAATTCTCCTAAACTGGTGATTGCACTAAAAATGTAGCTGCCCATGTCATCAACACTTAATGAGTGAGAACAATACAGCTCTGCAAACATCAGGGGCTGTCTTATACCAAGAAGCCATGGGTCCACCCAAGTCATGGATTGTCTACCACAACCTACTGTCCCTCAGATACTTCTGGGCTACAAGCCTCACTGTCCTCAAACTGCATGGCGAAGGCCAATGTACAGCCTGGGAGTGATGGAAAGTGTAGCCTAAAACATCTGGGAAGCCCAAGGTGGGGAAAGCTGGAAGTGATTCTTCAAGGTATCAAGACTGCAGCATGGGAAAGCCAGGAGCGAATCTGGAACTCGAAACACAAACTGTGTGTGCTCTGTGGCTGCACTTAACAGTCTGTTCCTGAATAACATTGGTCCTATGCAACACCTCAGGCTTCCCACATGAAGACTAAACGTGAGGGAGGAACACAGCAGACACACAAAACCTCCTCACAAATTTTTCACAGTGGAAAAGTTTTTAGTCCTCTTGTAAGAAGGCTCAATGCACATAGCTACTGCATACAATGTAAATTTTTCTGCCACAGGCATTTCTTCTGTAGATTTCCCCCCCTCCTGTTAATACTTACACATAGAAAGGATTGTGCAGCAGAAGAACAGAAGCAAAGCGAGAGGTCAAAAATTCACACCAGCCAGATTCAGTCGCAAGCTTGCAGATAATTACTGCCACTTCTATCACAAAGTATACAGTAGTTTGGTTGCTACTACCACTTTGTAGCTTTACCAAAGGTAGCCTCTGATATTGATGATTCAGGATAAATAGTATTAAATTACACCTCAATGAAAGAAAATAGACACAAACCTTCCTGCAGGTAAGAAAGTTTTTTTCCCCACTATTGGCTGTGAGGCAGTTTGCACTGCAGCAGAGGAGCAGCAAAATGTTGTTGTTTCAAGTTATATACTGTCCCATAGAGCTGGGTGGTTTATAACATCATTATGCAAGCAACACTTTTTTCCCTCACAGCAAGCTGGGTACTTATTTTACCAACTTCAGAAGGATGGAAGGCTGTGTCAACCTTGTTCATCAGCAGCAGCAGCAGCAAAGGTTCCACAAACATGGTGGGAATACTGTCATGGAGGAAGATGACTGTCTCTCCTAAAGGATTGTGACAGGAAATGCAGCCAGGAACTCTGGCCCCAGAAAAGCAGTCATTTACAAACCAGTCTACAATCTGACTTAAAAGATCTCCAATCAGGACTTCCACTTTGCAGCACACTAAGAAAGTGAAGATTTCTTTCTTTCAAAGAAGTGACTGCAAAGTAGGCCAGGGTTTTGTACAGGTTCTACGCCTCTGGAATAACACTGTTCAGAAGAAGGAAACAACAAGGGAGGGGCACACAATCTTTCAGCTCAAGAATGTCCATGTCCATTTTGAATACAGGGGGGAAATGCAGCTTCCATGAACACAGAGGGAAATTCGAGCCATCTCTAGGTGGTTTAACAGAAGTTCAAAAATGGGCAAAAGGTTACCAGTGGGGCAATCCCCAGACACTGCCCTTCATCCTATTGTATTCAATTTGATTTCTTTGTAGATCTTTTCCTTATAAATATTCCATGTTGTACCTTTTTGACTTTTGCTCCCAAACTAGCTGACACTTTGCCCTTGTTTCTCTTTTAAGCGCAGTAGATACCCAAAATGCAGTTGCAAACACTGAAGGGGAAATCCAGTTGTCAGAGAATGAAGGACCATGCCCATTACTGCCCGATCAGTCACAAAACATAACTTCTCATGACTGCTATCTAAAACTTTCAGTAATGGGCAAAACAATCCTCCTTTACTATATAATTATGGGTCTTGCCATTTCTGGTAGCACAGAAAATCACTTTGTGGAATTTTATGGGTGTTATGTTGTGATAAAATGTGCAATGTTAAACAAGGAAGTATCAAATGCGGACATGTCAAACAAAATGTCCATCTCTATAGGCCCAGCCAGGAATGGGGTGGGTGGCAATCATCTAACTTTTCCCACTGGGTTCAAGTGGTTAACAGATGGGGTCCTCTCTCCCTGCTCATATGCAATGGCTCTGGATATTTGGCAACTATGTGCAAGAAGACAGGAAGAAACATAAGAGTTGTTACAGAGTACAAAAAATCTCATCTACTAGCTACTGCAAACCAGTGGCCAGAATCTTATTGGCGATCTGTACTTACATAAAGAAGATAATGTAAGTCACATTGGTAAATGGCTCCTCATTAACAAAGTGCTGTTGCTTTGACTCAACCTCATGCCTGCCCAGGATCACCATTGGCACCTTGTTAATGAGTGGCAATTTTGCTGCTGAAGTTTACACATATTCCTTACACAAGGATCATCAACATGATTCTGCCCCTTGTAAGATACACTTTTCTCATCATTCTACTTCTCTTTTCCTCTGTTTCTCTTTTTTCTCATAAAAACAAGTAGAACTTAAAACAACTTTTCAATTACTGCGCTACCACAACATACAGGTGAACCAGGAGTGATTCTCCTCCTCCTCCTGCTATTTATATTGCACCCAAATACTTCTTCCTAGCAGACTAAGCATTTTAATGACATTAACTAATAACAGAAGTTATCAAACATCAAACTGAATGAAGTCCATACATTTAGAGCAAGGACAGGCAACTATGGTTTTCCTGATGTTTCTGGGCTGCGACTCCCACTAACCCTCACTACTATTTATGCTAGTTAGGAGTGCCAAAAGTTGTTAATCAAAACCTATTTGAAGAGGCACAGCTGCCCATCTCTAAATCAAGACATCTCAGAACCTCTTTTATCTTAGCATTTGCGAAAGCTATAGCACATGACATGAGTTACATCAAGATCTATGTGGATTTTTAGAATCTTTGGGTATGGTGTATTGTGTCATTTTAGCTTGGCATAATTTACTATTCTTATGCTAGAGGCTGTTTCATGTTCCATATTCTTTGGAATAAGTTGTGCACATTTGTTTAAAAACCTCAACAAACCATTACTGTTTTGAAGACAGAAATGCATTCATAATTGTTTTGCTATGATATAGTAAGTGAACTTCCTATTTGTCTTCTAATCGAACTCAAAAATATTAAATCTTTGGTAGTGAGAACACCACAGCAGAAATTGGTCTGCAAACCTTGTGACATCAGAACATTTCAATGAACTTTTAAGCCCTTAAGCAATTTATGAAAAGCAATCATCAATAAGTAAAGTCTATTAAGTCGTACTGGCATCAATGGAATTGGAATGTGTTTGCATACCAAACAACACCTTGCACATATGAAACAGACTGAACAGCTGAGAACAACAGAGTTTTCATATTAAGTGGCCTCACCTTGCTGATACACAATGCACTTTCAGCCAAAGCAGTTAATAGCTTGCAGTGCAAAGCATTCTCTCTCTCTCTCTCTCTCTCTCTCTCTCTCTCACACACACACACACACACACACACACACACACATTAGTTGAAATGCAACTAAACTACATAAATCTCTCATGAAACAAAACTTAGACTGAGATCTTCTGCTCAATAACACAGGAGTCCTTCTTAATAAATTGACATGAGTGACAAGTTATTTGAAACATATCCAAAAAAAATTCTGTGTAGCAGAAAGGAAACACTTACACTTTTGTTTCATAATCTTTCCATGCTTTATCAAAAGGTTTCTTCAAATCCTATGAAAATGTAAGGAAAAAGACATTAAACTGGCATCCATTCGGTATGAATTACTTTATCCTTCACATGATCTAAACCAAACACTGGTAAAACAGTTCTGTAGCCAGGAACACACTGTCACTCTTTAAACCAAAGGGGGCCAAACTGTGGCCTTCAGATGTTTGAAAACAATTCCCACCACCCTTCATCACCGGCTGCAGTTGCAAGGGCTGGCTAGAGCTGCAGCATCCCAACACTGAGGGAGGCGGCTACACCGGCTTGAAACAAACTACCTGGGCTTTCATGATTCATTTCATGAAAATTTAAAAGCTTGGAAGTCCAACATATGACAGTGCCAAAGGGAGCACAGCTCTATACTTTAGTCCATGCTTCAGATAAAGCTAATTTGCTTTACTTATAACTATGGGTCTGTTCACACGTACGGGTAGCTTATTTTCTCCACACTACATTCTTGGGTATGAGACAGGAAAAGACCAGGCATGCACAATCTATGAACTGTCAAAACAATTGCAACCAGTATTGCCTGGCCTCTATAGCCTAATAAGCTTCCTTGTTTTTCTCCTTCCTGCTTGGGTCTTCAATGGGTAGGGGAGTCAGTGAGCACCTGGGCAAGGCACCATGGAGGGCTAATGTGGGAGGACGTTTTTAGCTTGTTGGATCACATTCCTCCAGGCCTATGAAATTAAGTTTGAGTGTGAACCAGACTGAAGAAGCATTCTGTGTGGCGAGGGCAGCAGGTGTTACAAAGGATGTAACCATCAGGAGCAGTGCTCAGTTCACACTGATGATTCCTCCAACACATGGGGATAATAAGCTCCATGGGATTTATCCCCAGAATAAACGGCATGACAACTGCAGTCCAGAAGTGCTATTAATCTCAAAACAACTCAAACATAAAAACTCTCTTTGCATTGGGACAATCAATCAACAAAATCACATTTTAATTAAAAATTTTGGATATTCAGCCACACAGATCCCCCTTTTCCTCCTTTCTCTTGAAAAGAATGCTCTTGCCTAAAGCCATTAAGTTCAGCTTACTGACACTGATCTGAAGCATCAAAACTAGTGAATGCCTTCTCTGAGATATGACCACCACTATTTTATCCACCATACTTGGCTTGGGAAACAAGCAGCCAAAACTTTTTTTTTATTGGAACTCCCATTTGACCACACCACTTATTTTGGTGGTACAAAAGAAGCAGTAGCATAATTGAGTGTGGCAGCCGCAAAAACATAGGGAAGGCCATGCCTTCTCCATTCTTGCTCTATATGCTTTTAAAACAATGTGCAAAACCATGAAATATACTGACCAGAATCCTGCACAAGCAGCACTCTTCACTTTACTGAGTATTTTATATACCCATAAAACCAGTCCTGGAAACTGGTGTAGGCAATTAAAAAGCTGCGAGCTGTATGCGGATCGAACACCTGATCATGCACCTCACTGTGTACCCAGGATCCTGTCAGATAGCTGCAGCAATGTCTCCAACTACTCTTATGTACAAGTAAATATTCAACAGGATTCTGACCACTGCCTTGCTATTCTTTATAACCACATACTTATGACTGATCAATATTTCAGTTTACAATTGCCATGATAACCAGAGAAAATGAGCTGTGTTAAGTCATACAGTTTCAACCACATGGCCTCTGGAGTACTTCCAAGGTCCCAGTGGAAGTCTCCAATCAGAACCTCTACTACATTACTGTACCTCTTGCACTGCCAAAGGTTTGGCCTTCATTCAGACAAGCAGGCAAAGTGCCCTACAAGCTTCAGTATTGCTCTAAGTACCTTCAGCTGACCTCACTAGGCAATGAAGATACATCAGGCTCTATAAAACTGTTCTTTCCAAGCACGTTCCTCAGTCTAAGCAATCTGTCGTATGAACAGCAAAACATAGTTCTGTTTGAACTGCTGGACAGCTCAGTGGTTTAGACATCTTAGAAGTTGGGAGTTCAATTCCCCACTACAGTGGTGCCTCACTTAACGGGCGTCGCTCAGCTGAGGGAAAATACCAGCTAGGGCTTTGCAAGGACCGCGGGGGAGCTCTCCCCCCACGGTCCTTCCCAACCCCTAGCCAGATTTTCTCCCAGCTGAGCAGCGGTGGCTTCGGAAGGACCGCGGGGGAGGGTTCCCTCCTCCGCAGTCCTCCCAAAGGCCCCATTTTCGCACAGCTGATCGGCGGTTCCAAAATGGCCGCCCACTGTGTTGCCTCGCTTTAGAGGCACTAAAAATGGCTGCCCCTATGGAGGTTCTTCGCATAACGGTGAGGTTTCCCCCCATAGGAACGCATTAAACAGGGTTTAATGCGTTCCTATGGGGTTTTTTGCCCCATATAGCGACGAATTATCCAGAACGGATTATCGTCGCTATGTGGGGCACCACTGTATACCTTCTTGACAGACGCTGGACTTGATGACCAATAGGGTCCCTTCCAGCTCTGCAGTTCTAACATTATCTCACTGTAACAGGGGATGCATGTGTCACTCAAAGCCTAAACATGTCTCCAGCATCCCTTGAAGCCTGTGTCCACTCAAAATATAAAAGAAATTGGGAGAATTTCTGAAAAAAATCCTATTATGCCCTCTAAGGCAGCAGTCCCCAACCTTTTTTGGACTAGCTGAACCTCTGAGGAAGGCAGGGCACACCCCCCCGCGCTTGTGCAGGCGCACTGTCAGGCACATGTGCTGTCTCTCGGGTGCATGTGTGAAGTGGTGGAGGAGTGCGCACGCACACCCACCAGCACCAGCTTGAGCACTTCCCCACCCCTTCATGCATGTGCAGAAGCACCTTCGCATACATGCCCGTATGCCCCTTCACGCGGACGCATGTGTGAAGGGATACAGGCTTGCTCACGCCAACACTAGCATGCGCAAACGTATGAAAAGCAGCTGTGGGGAGGGGAGTGCGTGCGGGGGGCACGGGAGGTCTGTCTCTGCGGCCTAGTCCAGCTCAGGCCACAGACCATCACTGGGTCGTTGACCGGGGGGGTTGACAACCTCTGCTCTAAGGGATATGGGAAGCACTTACAGCATTTTTGGGGCGGGGGTCCTCAAATTTTAATTTTTAAAAAAAATGTTTTGGGCCACTAGAGGGTGTACAGGTGTGTGTGGTTTTTTTAAAAAAAGTATTCAAGGGCAACCAGAGTATAGGGGCAAGTGCAAAAATCTCCAAGAGCCAAGAATGGGCACATGCAATTCTTGGACATCAAGAATCTGAGCACCCATAGCTTAAAATCATGTTTCCATTTCTGCTCAACTAAACCAGGACACTGTGGCATTATTTTATGACCTCAGAAGATTAATGAATCCTTTTGTGTGTGCTAATTCATGCTAGCCAAAACATAAATATAATCTGCCCACCCAGAGTAAGCATCTTTGCATATGATGCAAGTGGATAACAAATAATTGGAACAGCATAATCTTTGTGTTAAGCATCTCCAATTCTGCATTTTGTATCAGCAGCTTGACAGTATATGAAATGTTTCAAGCATTTCACAAAAGTAAATAAATATATAAATAGCTTTTACTTTTTTTTCAGCTGGTCATCAGATTGCATATGAACAAAGACCAAGCAGAAGTAGTAGCAATAGCAATAATAGTAACAGTAGCAATGGTGGTGTCAGGGCTTCAGCCCACTTAGAAGCAGTAATTTATTTTACTAGATATTAAAAATAATTTTAAAAACCATCCTACCCAATAGCCAGAATCCTATTTCTGACTTATTACAAAGGAAAACTGCATAAGTCATGATGGAATATTGCTGCTCATTAAGGAGGTACTGGTTGTGTTCCTAGCATGTTCTCTGGAACATAACCAACACCAAAGGTGGTGGAATCATACCATTTAAACATAGATACACACAGACACATACATGCGTACATACACAAAACATACCCCTTTGACTCCTTTTAGATCACCTTTCAGCAAACTGTCCAATGGAAAAGTTATTATATTGTTCATGTTCTGGATCTACAATAAAAAGAGAAATGTTTTAAAAACATTTTCATGTTTAGATTCAATATCCATTACCTTATCAGACATGAAGACATAGTGGGACAAATACTAAATATTATATCATTATGAAACACAGCAGAGATGGCCTAATTCTCTGGGAAGATTTTATTTGCCTCGTTCTGTGGTTTGGTTTTCAAGAAATAGCAAGACTCCAGTTCCTGCATTTGCAAAAATGGGAAAAATATTATGCCTCATTACCTTCCCAGATGTTTGCAGGAAGCACGGGATGCCTTATTTCACTATTATTAAAGTTGCAGTGATCAAGGTGTGGCTGTGTTGTTCTAACACTAAGTTAAATTTTAACATTGTACAAAGAAGGTCACAAAAGTGCTGTTAGGAGATGCAACAATATATCATGTAGACTGTCTCGGTTACAGATCCATACCTTAGAACAGGAACTGAAGTTTATCCACAAGACCTTTTTTACAAACAGAATCAGGGAGAAATATATTTGTACAAAATAGGCCCAAATCGAATATTCTCCTATCACTTTTTTCACATCAATAGTAGTCATGTAAGAGAGCTGACCTTTTCCAAATACTTTCAACTGTCCTTTCTGTGTCTGTTTATAGCCATTGTTACAGTCTGCTACATTTCTGTCACCATTGCCCAATTCAATTTTTCTGTAATCCTTGTCAATTGGAGTTCATATGCATGATAACATCAAAACAGCCAATCAGATCTGGTTACATTCCTATTTCACTAAGGGCTCATGAAGGCCATTAGAACACGGCAAATCGTAGCCAATCAGGGATCATCCTAGTTATCACACATGGACCTCAAAACCAGATTGCAGAAAAGAAAATGCCTTTCACCTTTGGCCAAGAGTCTTGTGAATGATTTCTTTGGCTGAAGTACAAGTGACTTTAAACCCACATTTTTTTTAACTGGAAAGTCACAGGTGACTTCACTTTACCAAGACTGAAGTGCTGAATTGTATATAAGAACGAAGAAAAGCTACTGTGCGCAGAACTATTTAACAACATGTATTTGAACAGGAAAAAACCCCAAGAGGCTCTTCAGGAAATCCAGTCCAGACTGTCTTGGTGAGAAGTATATTACTGCATAGCTGCTCTCCAGAGCATGTGTTAAAACAGCAAAATGATTTGACAGTAAACCATAGCAACTAAAAGCTTCGAAGTCTCTCACCTAGCTCTCAAGTACTACCAACTGTCCTCTTTGTTTGCCATCCTAGAGGCTAAAGAGAGTGGGATTTTTGACAATGGATTTGATGATATTCCACTCTGGAGATGCAAGAACCTCAGCTTCCTTCTTCATCTCCTCCTCAGAGCAGCTCTACTTTAAAGGTATTTACTGGCCAGAAAAAGATTATGATAGAGGAGGAGCAACAGCAGTCACCACCCACCACAAGGAGAAAGGAAAAAGAAAAAACAAGAGTCATATAGTTTTCAGCTGATCATGAGTAGTTATTTTTCTCTCTCTTTTTTTTCAATCCAAAAGGAAGACAAGAAGACGAAGATAGCAACTATGGGAGTAGAAGAAGCACAGGTCTGAATTGGATGGATTGGAAAGGAGAGGAGAGTGGTACCTTTTCACCTTCATAGCAAGGGCCTCCTAATAGTTAGGAATAGTTCTGCTCCAACGTTAAATGTTTCACAACTCTCTGTCCTGTTGAGTTCTGGGTATATTAACACAACATGTTCAAACAAGGAACGTGCTGACAATTTACTTCTGCTGCTCAGGGATCTGTGGCTAGCAAGCCAGCACATATTAAGCAGGTGAAACGTTCCCCTAAATGGATACTAAGCTGCAATAAATGTTTCCCGTGCTCAATTTCTGCAATGTCAAGTTGCTGTCAAAGGCAAAGAAGAATTAATTTTGCAACATAATGAAGTCTCTATAGATAACCCTAAATTCAAGGCTCCTGTTTTATGATTAGGGAATCATTCTTTGTGGAAAAGACAGAGAGGAAGAAAGCGAGATTTCCAGACTGACGCAGCCAGATTATAATCATATTTTCTAAGAAGTCCCTTATTGAAATGCTTTAGCTATACAGTGGGGTCTCGACTTACGAACTTAATCCGTATTGGAAGGCAGTTCTCAGGTCGAAAAGTTCTTAAGTCGAATCTGCATTTCCCATAGGAATGCATTGAAAACCATTTAATCTGTATCTGCTCTTTTCGTCCATAGAAACTAATGGGAAGCTGCTATTCCGCCTTCTGCCACTAGAGGGGGATATTTTTTTCTTTTTTCCTTTTAACCTAAGATGACTTAGCTTTTTAAAAAAGGAAAAAAAGAGTTCGTAACTCGAATCTAAGTTCGTAAGTCGAGTACATATATTCCTATGAGAGCGGTTCGTAAGTCGAAACGTTCATATGTCGAGCCGTTTGTAAGTCGAGACCCCACTGTAAATGTAATACAGTAGTACCTCAACTTAGAACGTCCCGACTTACGACCATTTCGAGTTACGACCAGCTCTGGCTGCAAAATTTTGCTTTGACTTGCGGCCGGAGCTTCCAGTTACGAACACAAATGCCAGGGGGGAAAGGCGGGAAATTCAAATTGCTAACTGTTGGTGGCAAAGAGGCTGCTTCTTTGTAGCTCTTTTGCCCCAGCAGTTAGGGAGTGTGTGATCTGAGGAGGCTTGGGACTGCCTGGCTTCTGCTTCTAAGTGAGAGTGTCTTTGTTTGCAGGGAGGCTTGGACTGCCTGGTAAGGTAAGGTGCTGCTTTCTGCTTTTTAAAAACTGCCAGTTTTGGGTGGGTTTTGCAGGGTGGGTTTGGGCGGGGATGGGTTATGTTTCTGTGCTGTGTTGTTTTGGTTTTTTTTTTGGTGATTGATTATATTCTCTGCAGCCAAAGATGGAGAAGCTCTATACAGTCAGCAAAAACAAGACTTGGAGCTGATTGTGGCTCTGATCATCAGCTTCTTATAGCAAAACTCAAGCTTTAACTGAAGAAGGTAGGAAAAACCACTGGGCTAGTCAGGCATAATCTAAACCAAATCCCTTATGAATATACAGTGGAAGTGAAGAACAGATTTAAGGAACTAGTTTGCTGGACAGAGTGCCTGAAGAACTATGGATGGAGGCTTGTAACATTGTACAGGAGGCAGCAACAAAAACCATCTCAAAGAAAAGGAAATGCAAGAAAGCAAAGCGGCTGTCCAATGAGGCCCTACAAATAACAGACAATAGAAGGGAAACAAAATGCAAGGGAGATAGGGAAAGTTACAGAAAAGAGGCTCCAATACTTTGGCCATCTCATGAGAAGAGAAGACTCCCTGGAAAAGACCCTGATGTTGAGAAAGTGTGAAGGCAAGAGGAGAAGGGGATGACAGAGGATGAGATGGTTGGACAGTGTCACCGAAGCGACCAACATGAATTTGACCCAACTCCGGGAGGCAGTGGAAGACAGGAGGGCCTGGCATGCTCTGGTCCATGGGGTCACAAAGAGTCGGACATGACTTAACTGTTACATACAGCACTGATGCTACCTGTCTGTCATGGGTTTGGAGGGAAAGTTCCATCCTATGGGGAGTGGAAGGCGGGACATCAGGAGGAGGGGCTGTACTGTATATATATGTGGAGCGTGTGTGGAGAGTTTAGAGTGAAGAAGCAGCAGCTGGGAAGAAGAAGCTGGTGTGGGAGTCTGTGTGTCAGACAGGGTACTACTGTGTGTCAGTCAGTACCAACCTGATAGGTTCAGGTGTCTGTATGGTTAGCCAGAACTGATAGGTTCAGGGTC